GGAGAGCTGCATCAAATCAGATAGACAGACTAAAACCAGAAGAGAGGAGATGCGGCTTTCACAATAAAAGCCTCACAGTGTCACTTAGGAACAGCAGGGCTGTGTCAAGTGTTTTCAAGTGTTATGTTGCAAAAGATTGTTGAATAATAGGAATGTGTTTATACAGGGGAAAACACAAAACAGACAAAAGAAAATACAGCCTATAAAATATGTTATTTGCTTCTGTTGTTTGATTTTGAACTATTTTGTTTAGATTTTTAAACAAAGTGATTTTGTAATCTAGAAACAAATTTAGGAGCTGCATGCAGCATGCTCCTCAAGAATAATTAGATCCCCCACTGTACACTACATGCCACACTGTAAGCAACTGTTATCACCTACCAGAAATACAGCCAGGCGAAACAAAATACAATCTGGTCTCTTTTTGACATATTATACACTATCGATTTGTACATAATATTTTGAGGTGCAGGTGTCTGGATGATTATTTCCAGCTCGTGTTTGTGTATGTTTGTTTTTGTTTTGTCTGAACAGCTGACTGACTAATTTTCAATGGACCATCTCTGAAACTCTAATCCGAACACATTATCATTTCAAATCTTCATGCTCTTATTCCCATACAGAATCTTATGATTATTAGGCTACGGACTTTATTGTCCAACATCTGTGGGGTAAAAAAAAATATATATATATTGGCTATAAATTAATAATCAAAACGCTGCAGATTGAGTCTCACACAGGCCACTGTCTGTAATCAATGAGGGTTTTTATTTTGAACACGTTGACCGGAGGTGCTGTTTCTCTGCTACTCTCTTAGACTTGACGGTGGCGGCGGAGGGAGAGCTAGCGGAGGAAAAAAAGCAGCGGTGGTGGTGGTAGTTCACCTTCTGAAACAAACAGGAAGCAAGACCGCGCTTCTTTCCACCTGCGAGGTCTGTCCTGCCCGCAGAGAGCCCGGCTGTGGATTCCTCTACCACACGAGACTTTCTATATGAGAAACGACTCTGTCCTGAAGACATTACAGCAGTATTAACTTCCAGCTGTTTGTACGCCCGCGTCATTCGTCAACGACATCACTGACTTAAGGTAAGTCACCCACTTATCCCCGTTTCGTGTAATTGATTTTAACCCCGCACTTTTAAACCTGTGGCGTGAGAGCGTCACACCAGACTCCGTTCATCAATCCGTCAATTGATTGTCGCATTGCTTAAGCTATCCAGAAAAACTATAAGTTCCCTTCCTCGGAAAACGCAGCGTAAAAACTTCAGCAAATCATCAACAGCCACATTTCAGTTCGACATTTAACGAGCAAACTAGTTTGTCCACCATTATTGAGATAAAAATGAATCTGCCAGAATTGTTTTATTGCCACAAACGTAATCAAACGCTCCCTATACATGGGTGGATGGCGACGGCGACCACCAGTTTTTAAGTTGGAGTTCATGAAAACCAAGTGTTGTTCCCGGGTGTAAATGCAGGCTGAATACACCGGGAAGGGAGGTCGTGCCGATTTGTTCAGGATTTAGGATTTGTTTTTTGGGGGAGTCGTTGATTTTATCCGCCAAGCGAGACAACAACAAACTCATTAGATTTCTAAACAGAGTTTGTTCAGTGCTCCCTGCGTACGAGAACGGAATGCAGCATTCCGGAGTGATTACAGCCCAACCGAGGTGACTCTGGTAGGTGCTTGTATTGTAACTGTATTGTTGCGTTTTTGTCCAGGACAGCATGTGTTCATTTTTTTTTTTCCTGTTTTCACAGCAATGACAGAAGCTGTTTTAACTATTTCAGCTTGTTTCGTCACATGTCCTCAACCTCCCAGCTTGGACTTCACTGTAGTTTTTCTTATATAACAATCAAGGCTGTGTGATTTCACATTTATACATACAGTCACCCACCCTGCATTCTCTTTCGGGATCCATGATTTTTAGATTTCAGTGAGATCAAGCTTTCCAACTATTTGGGAGCCTCTTGATCTTTATCTGTGACCCCTGTTCCCATGGTTCCCACCTCAGGTCTACATTGGGACACACTATTTGAAGCTTTAGCATGACAGCTGTGTCTGTTTTATTGTTGAGAAATAGATAGACACCAGAGCCAGATAAAGAGGATGTGAAACTTTGGAGAGTAATTCATGTAGTCGTCAGCTTTTCTGTCATAATCATACCAACCTTTTGGTTTTATTTCATGCCGAGACAGAAGACAGCAGAGGTTCAGTTTCTTGGGTAGAGGGTAGCTGCTTGGTTAGGTTTCATGATCCTTCTGATGTTGTGAAATTCAACTTGATTCATAAAAAGCTTAATAAATCAACAGTGTAGACTAATTTTACTACTTATTAGTCTGGCTATGATGTCTGTTCAAACCGGTCATGCTAACTTTGATATAGTAGAAGTTGTAGGAGCCTATTTGACAATAATGGCTGACTTGACATTCTGGCTACTTCTTTATAATTGTCATAATTTGGATCTTCTAATTAAGTCATCCTCTTTCTCAGTAAACATAGACCAGTGCCAACTGTACTGCATGTGTCATATACGAGGAGAATGTAGCTGTGACTGACTTTGTGTGCGCTTTTATATTGTTTTTGTTCTTCAGTCACAGTAATCCAGAGTTTAGTTTTAGCTCGCTCTGTGTCAGTAGGTCTACAGTGATAATGTCACTGTCTGCATGTACCATGTAACAAAAGCAGCTTTGTGCACAGGTGTCTGTGTATATATATATATGAGCCTACTCTGCTCTTACAGTGTGTGATCAGCACCTAGCTTGAGGGTTGAGCATTAATTTGATGTATGACGTTAGAGATTCTTCAGCTGGTAGAGATATTGCTACACCAATTCTCCGGAGGCCACTATCCTTTTAATATCTCTGGCTATTTGAAGCCATTGTAGGTGAAGCTGCAAATAAATGAGCAGCACTGTTTAATGGCAATATAGGATTGATGCTGCTCTAATTCTCCAGATTAAACAAAAACAGAAATCAAATCTGCTTATTTAAGTGTAAACAAATTCACAGTTTAATTTCTAGATACTTCAATTATAATATCACATTACATATACAGCCCTATTACAGAGGATTTTGTGCCCACCTCTAACCTGGCCTGAGGCACATGTAGACACACACACAAGCTTAAAGATGAATTTCTTTCACTGTTCACTTGTCTAATCTCCAGAGCTATTATCTTTGTGTCTAATGCATAAGAGCATTTCTATAGCAGCCCACACGCACATTTCCACTGTCCATCACACTTGATGATTACTTCAGTCTTGACAGAGAGAAAATCTTAAAGCCGTGTTCATGTTACAAAAGAGGAGAAGAATTTACCAAGAGGATTATTTGCTACTACTCAGGCACTGATCCTGGAAGCCCTGTGCTGGGTGGGGTCTGCCCCGCTGTCAAGCCTCCTCTGAGGTAAAGTTAGAGAACACTGATAAGGCTAACTGACGTCACTCTAAAGACATCCGCCAACAATGCAGCTATTTAGTCCAAGCCAGATTTAGTCCCAAAGCTGGCCTCTACCGAGAAACTGGGCACAAATGAAAGCAGAATCCTAAATAAGTGTTCCTCTAAGAGCAAGAAAAAAGGAAAGTTTTGCAACTGCAGTGACGTCCATGTTCTGTATCATGGGGCTTAAAAAGTTGAACAGTGCTGTTGAGTGAGATCACTTTCTGTGTGTGTGGGGGTGGGGGGGTGGGGGTGGGGGTGGTCTTATTTGTGTTGTAAATTACATGAATGATGCAGGTCGCAGTGAAGTGTTTCTAGTCTCAGTGACCTACAGCATGGTGAAATTCTGAGGTTAAGATAAGAGCAAGGAGCCACGTGGCTGATCCAGCTAGACTTTACTTTATATACCAGCAGAGGTTTTGGTGCCAGTTATCACAACAATAATGCAGTTTATTGTAGCATTTTTCAGAGTGCTCAATGTCTCTTCAAGTTTCAGAGTGAAGCACATCAAAATATAGAGGTGTAATGGCATATTGCAGCATGATTAAACCAAACATACAGTGCTGTCAGTAAGTATTTGGACAGTGATACTTTTTCATTGTTTTGGCTCTACTCCACCATCTTGGATTTCAAATGAAACAATGACTGTGGGGTAAAAATGCTGACTTTTAGAGTGTTCACATCCATACTGAGTGAACAGCGAGGGAAAGCTTGTTTCAGTCCTGTGTGCTTGAATACATGTCTTAACACTTATAGACCGGACTGTACATATATATCAAACAAAATATTTAAAGAGACGGAGAGAGATGCAGGACTGAATATCCAAGTTCAGAAAAAGGTGGAAAACAAATGAGAAAATATGAATTTTGAAGGTTTAATATGGAGAATAATTATTAGCAGTGTGTTTGTTGCAATGGCGATGGTCGTTGACCAGCTGATTTTTTTTTTTTGCCTGATATGTTCTCTGCCTTTGAGCTGCTGTCTCGCTGATTGCCTGCTGTGTTTGAATACTGAGACTGATTGCACTGAAGCCTTTAGATAAAATGCTGTTGCTGTTTTTCACCGTATTTCATATAAAACGCCTACGTATTTATTTCAAGAGACCCACTTTTGTAACGAGATTTGTATATTCTGTTGTTTGGAGTGAAACACCTGTGTGTGTTGCAACTATCCCTATTATCTTCCTCGTCACGCTCTCTGCCCCAGTGTCTCTGTCACCTCTCGCTGTCTCTCACTCATTCACACTTCCTGCTGTTATACCTTTAAAGTAATCACCCCTCATTATAGTGAAAGGCTTGCGTAACATCCTCTCAAAGATCAGTATGAAAGGGAGACAGGTTTTTGTGTGTGTGTGTGTGTGTGTGCAAGCTGGCTTTCACAATGTCTATTAGCTTGCATGATCACTATTGTCTTTTTTTTTATTTATTTATTTTTTTAAGCGGCACAGTCTCATCTGCTGCCAGTCCGGACCGAGGAAAGTGGAATGTTCTGTATTCTCTTCGACTGAGTAGAAACTGTACCCAAGTGCTTATTATAAAACTATACATAGAATGGAAATTGCCATAGCAAGAAATGTGACTGAAATGAGAGCGGCCTGCTGGAATTCTCCACTTTGCTGCACAGCACGCTGGGACCTGCCAAGGAATGCAGGGAAGACAGCAAGAGAGGGATAGAGGGAGATGTAATGAGGAGAGAGAGAGAAATGCCAGAGACAGTACAGTGAAATATATGAGAGATACAGTAAATCTTACATGACATGTGCAGAGTCATATAAAGAAGTCTGCACAGGAACACCTTGAACTAATAACTGCTTTAATTCATTCTCGGTTATTAAGTTGAACACAGTAGATTTAAGTGGAAAACAGTTCAAATGCTCCTGATACAGGTGTGGTTAGAGACGCATTTATTCGCATTTACTCTGAAGTGTAAATTCTACAATCCAGTTTAGGGCTTGACAGCATCTGTCTGCTCACCTGTGGGAAGCTATTCCTCTTGTTGTACCAGCGAACACACTCTCGCTTTCTGAAGTGAAGTGTGAGGGAAAACAGACTTCGTAGTTAACACTGAAACATGAAATGAAGACGCTCTCACCTTGAGACCTGCTACAGGCTGCTCCGTGTGTGACACAGACTTCGGTTGTGAATGGTGTGAAGATGTGACATCTTTTCACCTGAAAATTGGCGCATAAACATTATTAAATACCATTATTAGGAACGTTGAGAAAGTAGTGGACATTGGCTAGTAAACAGGTTTCCCACAGTTGTTGCCTGTTATCCTCTCCAAACTTGTCCATTCCAGTCAGTCAGTAAGTCATTCTGCCAGTGAGTCAGTCAATGATGAGGATGTTCAAATGATCGACTTTACAAATATCTGGAGTGTGTTGTGCAACTTGCTGGGAAGAACAAGCTTGATGATGTTGGGATGGTTTAATTCTAATCTGTGGAGCACATTCCTGCAGACACACTGCCCATATGAAAACATGGAGATATGATATATCACTCCTCAGCTACATTTCATTTCAAATTTGTATGTCATTTGTATGACACAGAATTAAAATATTGTAAATCCATTTCATGCACAGAAATCACAGGCTGTTTATTCTTATGGTCTATATTTACAGCGCATCTAATGATTTTGGTGATGAAAACAAAGCTAAAATGTTATCTGGTCCTAAATCTGAGAGAAGGGAAACATTGGATCGTACTTCCATGGAAATAAAAAGTAGAAGATAAGGACAGTAAGTTGTAGGAAAAAAATGTTTTGATGGCATACAGGGGTATAAAGATGATAAACAGGATGGATGTATTGGACATACAGTGCTTGTTTGGAGTTATGGAGAGTTAGATTGCCCATCACCACAGATTCTTGGGCTGCAGGAAAGTGTGAAGCAGGGTAGATAAGATAGATATCTGTTTCTCTCTGAAAAGCATCATCCTCTGTGACGAGTCTCTAGTAAAACCCGCTGACTGGTCTGAGGTGAATCAGCAAAGCCCAGTGAATACTCACTGTATATTTACATGTATATGTTTTTGTCATGTGTAAGAGATTGTTGTTAGAATCTTGAGTATAATTATGATGATGATCATACAGCATAAAAATAACTGCAAAACCATTTTGTAACAGGTTTAAGTTACCAGGCTGGTGACATTACAGAAACAGAAAATTATGTCACAAAGGAAGCACTGCTGTGTAAACCCACTTTACTTTGATTTAGGCAGCAATCTGTTGCTTACAGAGCAAGCTGTGACCAAACAGGAAATTACAATTTCAACACATAGGCCTTACAGATGTTCTAAATTAAGTCTTTCAGTTGTTTTACATATTCTTATAAAGGTATTCAACCTCACATATTCAAATAACACTAATAAATTCATTAGTGCATTAGTCTGTATCTGAGCCCAGATGGACTTAATGATAGAAGAATAAACACTTCATCATTCAGATTTTTAACATATCAAATATAAAAACGTTGTAATAAACAAAAAGTACATAAAGCACCAGACGTCTGTGGTGTGACACCAGTGGTTGCCGTGGTTGCTAGCTGTCTCCTTGCATGTAGCTTGATGCGGTAACCGCGGCAGCCCTAGATGCATAGATAGCGCTGGGTTATGCTGCTACCCAAGGGGGTCCAGCCTCCACTCAGTAACCTGAGAGGGCAAAACCTCAGCTTCACATCTCTATGGCAACACGTCTTCCCAGCGCGGGTCCCTGTCTGCAACTGCTGATGACACACACTGCACATGTCTGTCCCACACACACACTCTGCTGTGAGCATGCATTGAGCCTTGTGATATCATAACATGCAGACAGCCCTATAGTTTAAACATGGATGTTATATGTTACAAAAAAACTGGTTACATTTTTATGCATTATAAACATACGGGAAGACAGGAGGGTTGAAAGAGGAGTGACGGAGGCTTCTACGTTAAAGTAGAGAAACCATCACTCACGTTGATCTTTCACACTTGGCCTCAGGTGACTCCAACAACTCCGACTGTTGTTCCAACAGCCAGGAACCAAGTAGCATCACTGGCCTTGGTATGTGTTGATGTGTCCTGCACAAGAATCTGGACAATGTACAGTACGCACAAAGTTTAGCACTTTCGTCTTCCTCTTATTTCTCGCTTCTTTTGTGCTAATAGCTTTTGAGAAGCATCACATTTATCTTAAACTGCATTCAATTGCAACGTGGTGTCATCTAACTTCCTGCTGTCCTCATGATGTCAACAAGTCAGGGTGGTGTGAAGAGTTTACCTCTCTTTAAGTCTTTCTCACTTGTGTTTGCCCTTGCCAGTAACAGTTCTGTGGGTGTGTGTTGTGTGTGTTTGTCTTCTGAGTGATCAGCTGCTGTACCGTCTACAGACTGAGATGGACCTTTGCTCAGTCAGGCAGCCGGAAGGTTACTGATTTACAGCATCTGAGAGGAACTTTTGAGAATAAACACACAGACTCACACGGTCCACCCACCCACCTGAGGGCAGCCTCACAATAGCAGTTATAAATAGAGGTTGAAGCAAGTAGCTAAATACAGGGAGACAGGGTGAAGAAGTGCTTAAAGGCCCTGGGTAGACACATATATCACAAATAGCTGCAGTGATATAAAAACTTCATTTACTTTACTTTATCCACCTCTTAACTTTACTTTGATGTCAGTAAAACTAATTTCTCTTGTTCCTCTGTGACGGAGGGTCATAAACATCACACGGTGCTAATGAGTGGGTGGGTATTGTTTTTAGAAATGGAAGGACAGTGCTCTTTTGTTTACTGTGAGGCACTCATGACGCATGGTCAAATGCAATGGCCCTTCAGACCGCACTTGGTTTGGGGAGTGCATGAAATGTGTGTACTGGTGCATTCCTCTCGCAGTCCTTTTGCATGTATTGAGGTCATTAACTAAATTGTCTTTAATGGACATGATTTCTGAACAACCTCCTTAAGTTGATTTCTTGCATTTCCAAGCAGCGTTTACTTTGTATTCGTACAATAATGTTATAAAGAACATAAAAAACTTAGTTGAGATGAGATAGCGATCACAGTGAACATATTTCTCAATTTACACTGCATTTATTTATGTGTAGTTCCTAGCATTCAGTCATTGCCAGGTACAGTGAGGAAGAAATGGTGCAGTGTTGGGACAGGGAGTGCCCTCCAAGAGATTGGGTTTATTATGCAACCCTTCTGGAAAACCACCTGTTTACAAAAGGAACTTTCACTGCCCGTTATGGCCTGAGGGCTGTAATGAAGTTAAGGATATTTATGAGAATAGTGAGCATGCTCCCCTAGTGACTGACCCACATGACCCAGGCAATAAGAAATGGAGGGCATATTGGCAGACTAGGTCTGTGCGTGTGTGTGTGTGCGTGTGTGTGCGTGCATGTGTGTGCATGGATGTACCCCAAGGTGAGCCAGAGTGAGAGCTTTGTCTACTGATGAGGCCCCCAGTCATTTTAGGATTGTGCATTCCTCTCATTCCTGTAACGGAGGATGGGTGGAGGAGAGGAAGGGTGTGTGTGTGTGTGTGCGGGTGTGTGTGTGTGTGGAGAGAGATAGAAAATCATGAAAGTTATTCTAGTTAGTACAATGATAAGACTGAGATGAGTAAATCAGTTGGTTTTATTTTTCTTTTGTTTGTGTAGTTGGTCCTCCAGAGCAGAGCAGAGTGTATGTGCAACAGTGCCAGATGCACGAAACACTTGAAGCTAACGTCACTAACCACTACTCTGTGCATTGTGCTGGAAATAGTTTTCCCAGTGTTGTTATGCCTCAAAAGTAGTGCTGCAGTGCTCCTCTCCGACTGCCTAGAATCTGAAAAACAGAGGCACTTTATTCTGAAAATCAGTTACTTGTTTCTGAGAGAAACGTTACTAAAGTTGAGGGTCCCATATTGTATAAAGGTAGATTTCCATGTGTTGTTTGATTATAAAGCAGGTCTAGGTTCTATTTTAATACTGTGAAAGTGTCAAAGCCTCAGTCCACAGAGAAATGCACACAGACTGAATTCAGAAACTGAGCTTTAAAACAAGCCGTCAGCACCTATGTAACTTGTGATGTCACAATGAAACAGTCTCCACGTTCAGCCATGCCCCAAGCCCCGCCCACCTGAACCCATTGTCCGGCCTTGCTGGATTTGGTTTTTCTGATTGTTTAAATGAAACCAGCTATATTTTTATTCGATCACTCAGAAAACAGTCAGCCAATCAGAAGAGAGGCTCAGGGCCTCCTCTCTTCTTATTGGCTCACCAGCCTTGTTTTTTGGTTTTTAAAACCACAAATATATCTTCTTATGGATCAACACTTCAAACAAAACACTGGAAACATATAAAACATGGACTTTTTGACTAATGCTGTGTTTGTCACAAAATAATTGAACCATTATGACCCATTTAATGCTCTAAACTCTTGCTCTTGTGCTGTGTTCATTAATGATATTTCATGGTGGATTTACAGTTTTATGGTTTTTTCCAATTGGAGCTTTTGTATCGCAGGTTTTAAAATAGGACTGAGAATGTGATCTTTGTTGTAGCTTTAGCCTTTAGCTAATAGGAGTTGCATTTATGCTCTTGTTCGTCTGTAAAACGACCATAATTGTGTCAAGATAATCTCATATAACAAATATGAATATTGTATGTGTTGTAATGACTGTGTTTAAAACGCACGTCTAAAAGGCCAGTAGATGCAGAGAAGGTTTTGTATCGTAAATATTGAAGTCGGCAGTAGCACCACCAACTGCAGTATTTGTTGTCATAACTAATCAGGATCTTGCCAGCTATTTTCATGCCTTCTTTCTGGGAATTTAGAAAAGTTTAAAGAATTAATACTTCAATTAAATTAAGGTTTAAAGATAAGAGTTCTTAGAAATTTGGATATCCCCCTTTTTGGAAAACATGAAGTGATGGTGAGAGCATAAGTCTGAACTTCAGGCTTCAGAATCATTTGTCACTAACGTCACGGCTCTTTTTTTTTTTTTTTTTTTAACAATCTGTGATTAACCAGATTATTTTCGGCTTCAGCCCAGAAACAAACTCAAAAAACCATTGATGTTACAGTGCAGTCGTTTCCAGAGAACCGCGGCAAAGCTAACTTTGGGGTTGGCCCTCCAGCAAAAACGTCATCAGTGAATCGCTTTATACTGAATTCTCTGTCTGTCTTGCTCTCTCAGTTACTTCAGAATCTTCACTGTAACACACACACACACACACACACACACACACACACACACACACTGGTGTTGATCATGTGATACTTTGAGCTGAATTCAGTCGGGAGTAAAACATTGACTGTCTCTGGCCTGTGATTTTATCATTCTGTTAAACAGCACACTTCCTGGAACTTTCCACGTGCAATCTTACTGTAGCTGTGTGTGTGTGTGTGTGTGTGTGTGTGTGTGTGTGTGGACTGTACCACAAAATAATTATTATAAATTATGTTCTTTTGAAACCCAGAGTCTCACCTCTTCCTATGGATTTACTGCTTTAAATGTATAATCATTGTTTCTTTACATAAAACATGTCCGACTCTCTCACCACAGTTGTTTGTGTGAGCCTCTCTGTGTCACACCCTGCTAAACAAGATAGAGCATCTGGACCACAGGGGAAAAACAGGAAGTTTACTGACCTCAATCAGAGTGTGGGCATTGCGTGTCATCACGGTTTATGGCCTCATTGGGTTTTTTTTTTGCCCACTGTATATTTGTTTACCATAATGCCCAGTTTACATCTTGGTCTCCATAGTAGCAGCTCTTTGAACTGTAGGCAGATGGTACTGATGGAGAGGCCTACACACCGCCTCGGGCACTTTGTCCGCACATACAGTGGTCACGTCCTTGGCTTCCTGTTTCATCTTGATGTTTCAAGCTAGAGTTGCTGTTCTCTTATATTCAGAGTTTACATGAATAAGGCTTTTATTGTCTCATATTGAGCCATATTTGAATGAGGCGAGACCTGCTACTCAAGCAAATGATGTTTTCATTGACTCTGCCAGTTAGAAAATGAAATGAATACCAGTCATCTGAGATTTTTTCTTCACTTCTTAAAACTGTGAGATAAAAATATCTATAATGATGCTGTTAGTAGTTGTAATATAGCAATATTTTGTTAATGAATTAATCATTTTGTGTATTTAATGTCAGAAAAAAGTGAAATAAGTCTGTTATAGTAAACCCCAGACCAATGTAGCATCTTCAGATTCAAGTCTTTCTCAGTCAGAGGTCAAATATCTTCTGTTTACTGTTCTGTTGATTATCTAATCAGTTAATTGATAGCTAATCGCTTCAGCTTCAACTGTTAAAACTGTAAAGTAAGGTGTAAAGATGAATGAGTTTAACCATGAGTCAGTTTCATCTATACAGGTAATAACAAGTGAAATATTAAAAAAAAGAGCATATTCACATTGATGGGTAAATATAGAAATTAATATAGTAAAAATTCAAGTTGGTTCAAGTTGGTTATGATAAATTCTGCTGGCTGCTCATGATAGTTTGGAACCTAGATTTCTTAGAAGAGGACTTCTGCTTGAATGCAACATCAGCTGCAGGAAAATCCTTTTCTCACTCTTTCATTTTGGGTGCTTAAACGATTCAGCACCATGTGACTCAGACTTTCTTTTAGGTGTGAATCACGTTTTTTTGGTTTTTTTTTCTCACCATGAGTCCTTTCACTTCCACTCTCACAGAAAAATAACATTTCTTCACTTGTTTTTCAAATCACTCACAGTGAATATTTCAAATCTGTTCTGAGTATCTACTCAGTTTGCTCGAGATAACGATGACAAACATAAAGTAAGCGCAAAATTCAGCCGCACAGGTTGGTTCTCCACAGGATGTTTTATCATAGCAGCTGTGCTAATATTTTTGTACAGCCCAGTCTACAGGACATCTTTACTGTCAATATCAAAAGTAGTTGCATGCAATCACTTTCCTTGTCAGAACTGGTAAACATGACTAATAGTGGAAAAACTGAATCATGCACCTTTTTGTTTTCATACATACTTTCAAATGATGTTGCTCTAATTCGTCTGCTTGTTGCTTCAGTGTTGACCGTTTTATTCTTCAGTGTTTCCAGAGGTGAGAAATCCTCACAGATGAATACTCAGTGATTTCTAACATCATCTCCACAATAATCCTGAGTGAGAGAGAAAAGATTAGATATCAAAGAAGCAGGAGGCAGAGGGAATAGATGGTGAGAGAAGTGGGACAGTGGAGAGGGT